TACGCTAAGTCAATAACCCAGGTTAAAGATAATATGTGAATGCACTCAGTGTCTAGTCTTCTGTTGAAGGGGAAGAAACTCAGGATCCTTTTCAATAAATTATTTCTTCTCATTTCTGATTTCCGCTCCATAAATTGATTTAGCCAGCCGGATGTTTCAGATAATCCCAACCCACCCACCCCCAAATATCTCAGCCGGTGCAAGCTAGTTAATAACTAGGTGGGAGATGTCCAGAAATCCCAGATTTGGGAAGAAAAACATTGCTGAGGAACATATTTGCAAATTGCCTCCATACAGTTGCTAAAGAAAACAAAATGAGTGTATCCTTGAAATCTCCCAGAATCTGTGAGTTAAGACAATCTGAGTTTCCAGGGTCCCTAAGCAGATGTGCTTCCAGTTCTGAAAGAAGAAGTCTGGAAAGAAGTCCAGAGTCCAATGGAGATAGGCAGCCAGTGAATATAAATGAATAATAATAATGGGTGCAGTCTCCAAACATCTGGAGCACCACTTGAACACCATCGGCGTTGACAAAATCACCACTGGTCAATTGCACAAGGCAGATTTACGTGGAACAGCATACATCCTACAACAATACCTTTAACACCATCAAACAGCAACATCTGCCTATCCCAGGTCCTTTGGAAGGACTCCATAGGTGGACAAAAATGCCAAATCCAGTCTGAATTCTGGCTGATTGTGCAACAATCACAATAAACATAAGTCATTTGTTCACTGAGACTGGCAAAGGACAGCTGTGCTTTCTTGGGATCTTTTAGGATGCTGCCTAATCCCAGCCAGGATTTTTAAAAACCAGAATGTGTTTGCTCTCAGTTCTTTTTCAAACCGTTAATACTGAGAATGGCCAGTTTCTTTTAAATAATTCGTATGTTAGGTGAGATTAAACTGCAGGGAAAGGAAAGATTAACAAATTATATCCCATTTTGAGAGTGGAGTGGAATAGAATAGAGTAGAATAGAATAGAATAGAATAGAATAGAATAGAATAGAATAGAATAGAATAGAATAGAATAGAATAGGAGAAATTAGAACAGAACAGAATAGAATAGAATAGAAAAATAAGAACAGAATAGAACAACAGAAATAGGAATATAGAATAGACTAGAATAGAATAGGGAATAGAATAGAATTAGAATAGAATAGAATAGAATAGAGAAATAACAGAATAGAACAACAGAGAAATAGGAATAGACTAGAATAGGGAATAGAATAGAATAGAAATAAGAATAGAAATAAAAGAATAGAATAGAATAGAATAGAATAGAATAGAATAGAATAGAATAGAATAGAATAGAATAGAGAAATAACAATAGAACAACAGAGAAATAGGAATAGACTAGAATAGGGAATAGAATAGAATAGAAATAATAGAATAGAATAGAATAGAATAGAATAGAATAGAATAGAATAGAATAGAATAGAATAGAATAGAATAGGTTTTATTTGGACAAGTGTGGTTAGACAAACAAGGAGTTTGTCTCCATTTCTTTTCCATCTCTTCCCAAAATCTCTCTGTATTTTCCCTCTTTGCACTTGAATCTTTTGGGAGATCCTGAGATGCATATCCATTTGCAGGAATTTGATAGCTCTCTGGCAGTATTTTTTCACTGTGAGCACCAAAGCAAAACACAGCAATCATCTGCAGCGGGTGTTGGAAGACAAAAACCAGGGATTGAGGACAAGAATAAAACCGTTGCCTGCATAATTCCTTTGCTCAGTTATGAAGTCACAAGATTCAGTAGCACAATTCCCAGAAAAAAATATCAGTGGGCAGCCTTGCTTTTAATCATTTAAATGAGTCTCTTTTAAATTGTTGATTTAAAGCTTAATTACTGTAATTTAAATGCTAATCCGCTCCCCCCTCTTCTACATACATAAACTGGATTTCTGCCTTGAACCAAAAAGCATCCTTCCTTCCTTCCTTCCTTCCTTCCTTTTCCTTCCTTTCTTCTCTTTCTTTCTTTCTTTCTTTCTCTTCCTTCCTTCCTTACTTCCATCCATCCATCCTTTCTTTCTTTCTTCCTTCCATCTATCTTCCCTCCCTCCCTCCCTCCCTCCCTCTCTTCCTTCCATCTTTCTTTTTTCTTTCCTTCCTTCCATCTTTCTTTTTTCTCTTTCTTTCCTTCCTTCCTTCCATCTATCTATCTTCCTTCCTTCCTTTGTTCCATCTATCTATCTATCTTCCTTCCTTTCTCCCTCCCTCCCTTCCATCTTTCTTTTTTCCTTCCTTCCTTCCTTCCTTCTTTCTTTCTTTTCTTACTTTGTTCCTTCCATCTATCTTCCTTCCTTTGTTCCTTCCTTTCATCTTCCTCCCTCCCTCCCTTTCTTCCTTCCTTCCATCTTTCTTTTTTCCTTCCTTCCATCTTTCCTTCCTTCCTTCCTTCCTTCCTTCCTTCTTTCTTTCTTTCTTTCTTTCTTTTCTTACTTTGTTCCTTCCATCTATCTTCCTTCCTTCGTTCCTTTCATCTTCCTCCCTCCCTCCCTCCCTTTCTTCCTTCCATCTTTCTTTTTTCCTTCCTTCCATCTTTCCTTCCTTCCTTCGTTCCTTCCATCTATCTTCCTTCCTTCCTCCCCTCCTTCCGTCCATCTTCCTTCCTTCCTTCCCTCCCTCCCTCCCTTCTGTCAAAAAGTCAAGATGGGCTCCAGACCTCATCAGCTCCGTCCAGAGCCTTTCTAGAAGTGCACCCATCATCCCCAGCCAGCCTCACCACCATCCTTGGACCATGCCAGGTTTGGAAAGATTGATCCATGGGTTTGAGAAACATGTTTTGCTGGATAATCTGGCCTGTTTTAAAAAGCCCAGGCGATGCGCAGAGGGGAGAAAGCTGCAGAAAAGCATCGGGGAGACGGTGGCGCCCAGCAGTAACGATGGGTGGGAGAGTCCTTATAGGGCAGGAGGGAAGGAGAAGAAAGGCAGAAGCCATCTGAGAAAAGAGAAAGAGGACCCTTCCCAGAGACCCCTCCCTTGGCTGTCCCTTGATTTTCTGCTCCATTTGGCAAAAACAATTTTCATTTAAGTCAAAAGGAAAAGAGAAGCAAGCACTTGGTAAGCAAAAGATAGCATTGTCTTTATTTCTAAGTACGGTGGTTTTCTATCCCATCCTTGTGCTCAAAGGTTTCTCAAAAAACAATACAGGTAGTCCTCAACTTATGACCACAACTGAGCCCAAAATTTCTATTGCTGAGCAAGACAGCTGTTCACAGTGAGCTTTGCTCCATTCTACGACCTTCCTTGCCCCAGTTACAAAGTGAATCACCGCGGATGTTAAGTTAGTCACGCGGTTGCTAAGCAAATCTGCCTTCCCCGTTGACTTTGCTGGTCAGACGGTCGCAAAAGGGGATCGCGTGACCCCGGGGAGACACCACGACCATCGTAAACACCCTGCCAGTTGCAAAGCATCTGAATTTTGATTGCTTTGACTGCAAGGATGCTGCAACCGTCGTTAAGTATGAAAAACGGCCGTAAGTCGCTTTTTTCCGCTGCGCTTTCAGTGAAGTATCCGTTGAAACTTTGAAATGGGAGCAGAGTCACACTTTAGAAGAATAGAATAGAGCTGGAAGGGACTTTGGAGGTCTTCTAGTCCAGCCCCCCGCTTAAGCAGGAGAACCTACACCATCTCAGACAGGTGATTGTCCAGTCTCTTCTTAAAAATCTCCAGTGATGGAGCACCCACGATTTCTGGAGGTAAGTTGTTCCACTGGTTGATTGTCCTCACTGTCAGGAAGTTTTTCCTTAATTCCAGGTTGCTTCTCTCTTTGATCAGTTTCCAACCATTGTTTCTCATCCTTCCCTCTGGTGCTTTGGTGAACAACCTGACTCCCTCTGCCTTGTGGCAGCTTCTCAGATACTGGAACACTGCTATCATGTCTCCCCTATTTCTTCTTTCCTTTAGACTAGCCAAACTCAAGTCCCGCAGCCTTTCTTCGTATGTTTTAGTCTCCAGGCCTTTGACCATCCTAGTTGCTCTTCTCTGAATTTTTTCCAAACTCTCAACATCTGTTTTGTGATATGATGACCAAAATTGGCTGCAGTATTCCAGGTGTGGTCTTACTAGGGCTCAATGGGGGTCTGTAGCCAGCTACACCCAATAATCTGTTTTTTTTCCTTGACTGCCCAGTAAAGACCCCTCCCCCAAACCCAGACCCTCCCAGATAAGCAGGAGAGAGCACTTTTACTGCTATCTATCCTCCACCCAAGGTACTGCAGCCAAACTCTCATAGCTTAACTGCGAGATGCTCTCCAGATTTTAAATCCCCCCCTACATCCCTTAACAAGCTTTGAGCTTCTAGACCTCATGATAATTTTTTTCGTAGAAGCTGTTGCTTTGCATATCCCAGCAATGGAAGATCACGGCCATTTCATAACCACCCGGTTGTTGTTGGGGTTTTTTGTCTCTCTCTCGCTGCATATACTGTAGTCCTCAACTTACGACTGTATAAAGTTACGACAGAGTTTAAAAAGTGACTTTACAACCAGTCCTCGTACTTATGACAGTCCCGATGTCTCTGTGCTGATGGGATCAGAATTGGGGCACTTGGCAACTGGCTTCTATTTACGACCGTTGCAACGTCCCAGGGTCAAGAGATCACCCTTTGGGACCTTCTGTCAATCAGTGTCAATGGGGGAAGCCTGATTTGTTTAACAACCATGTGATTCACTTAACAATTGCAGCGATTGGTTTACCAACCATATCAAAAAAAAAAAAAGGTCGTAGAATCGGGAACAACTCAACAAATTCATTGCTCAGGGATGGAAGCTGCCATCCAAACTGCGGTCGTAAATCAAGGATTACCCTAGGGTTTTTTTTTCTATCCAATGAACATTGAATCTAAGGCTGAAGGAATGCATGCCAATGCCACATGGTGCTATAGTATGGCATGGTACGAAGAAAGGATGCCCACCAATCAAACTAAGAATCAATCATAGATATAGGGAGCTTTAAGGAGTGGGCTGATGTGCTTTTTGGGGTGAGTGGGGTACACTCAGAGTTTCACCTCCGTGCGATACAGAGGTGATGGGGACAGCTGTTGCCTCCTAGCCGTGATGATCAACTTGCCAGCATCGTTCAGGGAGCAACTGACGGACAGAGGATCCATGTCTGTTGGCAGCTGGCACTTGTGGGTGAAGGTATTGGAGACGATGCCATCATCGGCCATCTGCAAGGAAAGAAAACATAAATGGGTGAGCCCAACTTTGGCATAGTCTATAGCAGGGGTCTTCAAACTTGGCCCTTTTATGTCTTGCGGACTTCAACTCCCAGAATTCCTCAGCCAGGCACGCATGGGAGTTAAAGTCCACAAGTCATAAAAGGGCCATGTTTGAAGACCCCTGCCATAGACCCATGAGGAATTCTGGGAGTTGAAGTCCACAAGTCATAAAAGAGCCAAGTTTGAAGCCCCCGACGATACATAAGTGGGTTTTAGTTGCAGTTTGGGCATTCGGTCTCTAAATGTTCGCCATCACTGGTACAGGGGGTACCTTGCTCAATAGTTGCAACTGTGAGAGGGATCTCAGAGTCCTAGTGGACAATCAGTTAAATATAAGCCTGCCGTGTGCTGCAGCTGCCCAAAAAGCCAACAGAGTGCTAGGCTGCATTAACAGAGGGATAGAATCAAGATCATGTGAAGTGTTAATGCCACTTTACAAGGCCTTGGAATCCTGCATCCAGTTTTGGTCACCATGATGTAAAAAAGATGCTGAGACTCTAGAAAGAGTACAGAGAAGAGCAACAAAGATGATTAGGGGACTGGAGGCTAAAGCATATAAGGAACGGTTGCTGGAATTGGCTATGTCTAGTTTAATGAAGAGAAGGACGAGGGGGGACATGATAGCAGTGTTCCAATATCTCGGGGGCTGCCCCAAAGAAGAGGGAGTCAAGCTATTCTCCAAAGCGCCTGAAGGCAGGACAAGAAGCAACGGATGGAAACTAATCAAGGAGAGAAGCAACTTAGAACTAAGGAGAAACTTCCTGACAGTTAGAACAATTAACCAGTGGAACAACCTGCCTCCAGAATCGGTGAAAGCGGTAAAGGCTCTCTCCCTCCCCTGATCCCTCACTCCCCTCAAGCGGTGTTTTTCTCAGCCTCGGCAGCTTTAAGATGTCTGGACTTTAGTTCCCAGATTTTCCCAGCCAAGTGTGGAATTCTGAAAGTCAAAATCCACACATCTCAAAGTTGTTAAGGTTGAGAAACCGTGCCCTAAGCAGGGACCTATTTGGGTGTTGATGACTTTAGTGAATAGATCATCGCTGAAAAGCAGCAGCAGCAGATAAACCGAATTGAAATTAGAAAATAATAATAATAATAATAATAATAGTAGTAGTAGTAGTAGTAGTAATAATAGTAGTAATAATAATAATAATAATAATAAAGTTGGAAGGGACCTTGGAGGTCATCTAGTCCAACCCCCTGCTCAGGCAGGAAACCTTATACCATTTCAGACAAATGGCCGTCCAGTCTCTTCTTAAAAACTTCCAGTGTTGGAGCATTCACCGCTTCTGGAGGCAGGTTGTTCCACTGGTTAATTGTTCTGTCAGGAAGTTTCTCCTTAGTTCCAGGTTGCTTCTCTCCTTGATTAGTTTCCATCCCTTGCTTCTTGTCCTGCCTTCAGGCGCTTTGGAAAATAGCTTGACTCCCTCTTCTTTGGGGCAGCCCCTGAGATATTGGAACACTGCTATCATGTCCCCCCTCGTCATCCCTCTTTCCTTTTTTTTATGGCTGCCTCCTATCTTCTCTCCTTCTTTGTCTCCAATCCATGTCCTTCTTTACCCTCTCCTGCTCCCCCACCCCCACCCCCTTCCTGCTCTGTGGCTAAGTTTATGCAACCATCTTAATTCAGGTCAGCCGAAGATGCGTTTGCATAATAGAAGCAACTTGACTTCGGTTAACCTTGGCGAGGGGTGTTGTTAAGGCAGGGCACAAACTTTAAAAAAATGAGTCAGTTCAGTAATCAGGTTAAGTGTGCTGTTTGAAAACATACGGCACATTGAGGCCGGAGAAAACTAATTTGTTCTACATTAGCTTAGGCAATTGGTAAGATCTGAGCAAACGCAACACATATGGCCGGTCGCTTAGGGGCTGTTCGGAGTTACAATAGAGGCCCGAAAAAACTACCGACAGCCCAGTTATGAAGTTAACAGAATAACAGAGCTGGAACGGACCTTGGAGCTCAAGGCAGGAGACTCTATAGTACAGTGGTGGTGAACCTATGGCACACGTGCCAGAGGCGGCACTCAGAGCCCTCTCTGTAGGCACGCTCGCCATGCCCCGGAGATGGCAACCGTCCCGCTTCAACAGGCCGCTCGTTAATTTGCTGAGGTCCCACATGGCTGGATGCATCCCAGCACCCATGCGCTCGCTGGCCTCTGTGTGCAGGGGCCGATGGTGTCAGGCAGCATCCACCCCGGCCCCTGCCTCACCTTGCCCTGTGACAATGGCACCCCCACCCTGCCTCGCCTCGCCTCACCCCGCAGGACGAGCCTCCTGCCCACTGCCCCACCTGCCAGAGACCCCCTGGATCTCCCCCAACCCTGCCCGGCCCCCACAGGCATCCCTCCCCACGAGCAACATTGAAGTGATCACGCCCACCTTGGCCACACCCACCCAATCTGCCATGACTACCACAGCTATACCCATCCAGTGGGCCACGCCCACCTGGCACCTGGCGATAAATAAGTGGGTTTTGGGTTGCAGTTTGGGCATTCAGTATCTAAAAGGTTCGCCATCACTGCTGTAGTACCAGGGGTAGGCAACCTTAGCTCTTTTATAACTCGTGGACTTCAACTCCCAGAATTCCTGAGCCAGCATGGCTCAGCTTGGAAACCTCTTCCTTTCCTCTCAGCATGGCTGGCTCAGGAATTCTGGGAGTTGAAGTCCACGAGTCATAAAAGAACCAAGGTTGCCTACCCCTGCCCTATACCATTTCAGACAAGTGACTGTCCAGTCTCTTCTTTAAAACCGCCAGTAATGGAGCACCCACAACTTCTGGAGGCAGGTTGTTCAATTGATTAATTGTTCTGTTGGGAAATTCCTCCTTAGTTTTACGTTGCTTCTCTCCTTGATTAGTTTCCATTCGTTGCTTCTTGTCCTGCTTTCAGTTGCTTTGAAGAATAGGTTGACCCCCTCTTATCTGTGGCAGCCCCTCAGATATTGGAAGACTAATCAGGTCACTCCAATCTTTCTTTTCATTAAATTAGACATGCCCAATTCCTGCAACCGTTGTTCGTATGTTTTATCCTCCAGTCCCCTGATCGTCTTTGTTGCTCTTCTCTGCACTCTTTCTAGAGTCTCAACATCTTTTTTACATCGTGGTGACCAAAACTAGGTGCAGTATTCCAAGTGTGGCCTTACCAAGGCATTGTAAAGTGGTATTAACACTTCACGTGATCTTGATTCTATCCCTCTGTTAATGCAGGCTAGGACTGTTCCAATGGCCAGCACCACCCACAGTCATATTATTGCATTTTTGCACACCTCCACTGTCTCCCGGAGTTTGCCCACATTCAAGTTCATTGCGTCACTGGCTCTATCTAACCATCTCCTCCTCTGCCGTCCCCTTCCCCTTCCGTCTTTCCCACCATCATCAGGGTCTTCTCCAACGAGCCCTCTCTTCACATTAGGTGGCCAAAGTATTTGAGCTTCAGCTTCAATATCTGTCCTTCCAAAGAAACAGCCAGGGTTGGTTTTCCTTCAGGATTGCCTGATTTGATCTCCTTGCAGACTGCAGCCCAATTCAGCCCAATTGAAAGAGGTGCCAAAAAATGTGGAAGACGGCAGGTTTGGGGATTCCCAGGACACAAGTGTCCTCCAGAGTTAGCTTAACCTCATGAGTGACGGTGCTGCTTGGAGCTAATTTTAGCGATTGGGAGATCTGCTTAATGGCCAAAGCAAGTCATCCCTTTGGACATTCCAATCGCATAAGAATTCCTCCCTCGACTGGGTTTTAAACGTGTTGTGGGAAGGGGGACCCGGGGTATCGGTTCCTTTTTATCCCCTCTGCATATCTCAGCCCTGACAGGAGCCCCCTTCTTACCTTCTCAGCTTGGATAACAATGCAATAGTTGTAGGAAGTCACCACAATATCTTGAGGTTCAAACTGGCTGAGATCCGTGATGACCTGGTATTTGTTCCCACTGGCCACCACGTTGCTGCTGCCCAAGGCGGAGGAATGGACTGACGGAGGGGAGCCTGGAAAGGGTGCAAAGAGAAGGGAGTATGTGTGTGTGTGTGTGTGTGTGTGTGTGTGTG